AGTCACCTTGGGTCTCATAATTGGGAGGAAGACAGCACAGAAATAATTTAAATGACAAATTGAAAAAAAGTGTGCTGTCAACTTATGGTGACCCTTTTCAGGGTTTTCCAGGTAGAGATGACTTGGAAGTGGTTTTACCCTTCCCTCCTTCTGGGACTGCGCAGTTTGCCCAAAGCTACACAGGCTGGCTCTACGCGCAGGAGGCACAGAGGGGAATTGAACTCCCAACGCTCTGGCTCTGGAACGTGATACCTAAACCACTGAGTTATCCAGCCGGCTAAATGACTAAAACAAACAAACAAGCAAACAAATATTGTGTGGAGCCAGGGGCAAAACTGGATGTTCACGTATAAGCAATGAGAATCATTCTTTCACATACGTACACAACAGACGTACATATAGCACACACACAAATACGCATACACACAAAAACAAATGCAGGAGAACCTCGGCTTCTGTTAAGAGGGCAGGCCAAAATTGGCTAGTTGGGAATAATCTGAGGTGGGGCAGTGTCCCGCTTGCTCTAGTGGCAGAGCCACCACTGCTTGTGTCTCCCACCCAGAGGTGCTGATTATTGCTCCCTCACCCCTACCTCCCACCCCTCGCACCCAATGGGGAGAAAGGATTTCAGAGTACTGTATTAAAAACAAAGGATATAGAAAGTCATTTCTGTCCCCTCCCTGCTGAAATTCATTCAGACAATGAAATTGCTGCTGATGTGAGGAGTGTCATTTTTTTGGAGGGGAGCTCGGTGGCGTGTTTATCTTATCTTCTTCCCACCCACCCACCCTCCCCTGACAGAACTAGCAACAAGCAGCTTTTTTCCCCCTTTGTCTTTCCTGATCTCTCTTCTCCCTTCTTTCGCAGTAGAAACCTGCAAGATATTGTGTTTCATAGGCTTCAGTGGTGCAAGAGAGCCACTATAGTTGTCACCAAATTTCAGTAGCAGTTATGGGTGCAGTCATAGTCGTGGCAGAAAAAGGTTGAATCCTTTGAAGAGTTGAGTGTAGGATGATGCCTCCGCCTCCTGCCATGTCTTAAGAAGTTGGCCATCCTGGTGGAGACAAGAGGGTCTTGGGGCCATAGAATGGGCAGTCAGTGAAAATTTGAACTCACAATGATGATAGTGAGGAAAATAATACCCACACTAATACTACCAGTAAAAGAACAATATCCACACTATATCTTCCCCTGACAGAACTAGCAACAAGCAGCTTTTTTCCCCCTTTGTCTTTCCTGATCTCTCTTCTCCCTTCTTTCGCAGTAGAAACCTGCAAGATATTGTGTTTCATAGGCTTCAGTGGTGCAAGAGAGCCACTATAGTTGTCACCAAATTTCAGTAGCAGTTATGGGTGCAGTCATAGTCGTGGCAGAAAAAGGTTGAATCCTTTGAAGAGTTGAGTGTAGGATGATGCCTCCGCCTCCTGCCATGTCTTAAGAAGTTGGCCATCCTGGTGGAGACAAGAGGGTCTTGGGGCCATAGAATGGGCAGTCAGTGAAAATTTGAACTCACAATGATGATAGTGAGGAAAATAATACCCACACTAAAGGAAAATAATATCCACGCTAATACTAATAATAAAATACAGTAATAATATCCACACTATATCCTGGATATTATTAGGAATATGCACAGTATGGTGCAGTGGACAGAGGGACGGACTAGGCTCAGGAAACCTGGGTTCAGATCCCTGTTTAGCCATGGATCGTTATTGGTGGACGTATCTCACTTGCCATGATGTTTTTAAAAGAGTTTCTATAAGTCGATGCCAACTTGATGGCACATCATACACACACACACAATTAGGAAAGAGATTGACAATAACATGACAAGTAGTCATAGAATCATACAATAAAAGAGTTGGAAGGGTCCTGTGAGGCCATTGAGTTCAACCCCCCAGGTCAATGCAGGAATCTTTTGTCCTGATGTATTATGATGCCACTTCTTTCAGAGCACTGTGTGTCACACTAGCTGCTCCGTTTTAAAAAAGGAAGCTCGACTCTACTGAAAATCAATTTACTACTTGGAAGGAGAGACTTATAGCCTTTAACCCTTGTCTGTGAGCTTCTCACATTAACTGCTGGCTGGTCTTTTCATTCATTGCATGAGACAAAATGGTGGATGAAACTGACCTTTGTGTGTCTCTCCCCCCCCCCCGTTCGCCCCATAAAGCAATCCTGTTGTTAGGAATGGCTAATGTATGGCTCTTCAGGTGGGTTATAGTGCCCATCATTCTTCACCGGTGGCTATGGCTGCTTGGGTTGATGGATATTACACTCCAAAAACACCTGGAGAGCCATATAAATCCTACCTTATATCCTTAAATTGAATTGGAAAAGTTTGAGAAGAATGGAGATTTAAGATCATAGCCCCACAGAACATTGTTCCAGGGGTAGCAGTGTTGTTGGTGGTGGCAAGTTTGTTGAAGTTTCACCTTGGGACCGAATGGTGATAGAACTGTGCTCTGACCTAGGAGTACAGCCAGGCCTGTGGTCTCTTGGAATGAGAGGAGGGAGACTCTCTCCCTTCTAACATCATTCTGGATTGTGCTTTCAGATCAGAAAGAGACTGGCCCTTGGTCCCACATGGATGCATCTGCCTTGCCTGTGCACATACTTGTTTCCTGATGGAGAGGAATTGGAGCCTAATTAATGGTGCAATTATAAGTATTGTGCTTTACTTGTTGTTCATGTCACTGCAGTGGACCCTGTACCTACTGTAGGTCAGCCCAACTCACAATTTCTGGCTACACGTTTGAGTGCAGCTTTTGTAGTCTCCCGTTTAATGTCGAACCATTGTGTTTTCTTTGGGACATCCACAGGATCCTGAGAGGACCGAGGCTTCCTCAGCTTCCCTTGGCCCTGGGGCATTTTGCTCCTGTTCTATAGTTTGTTGGCCGAGACTGTTTCGCCAGAACCAGAACATGCGGTTTTCAAAATTCTGCCAGGTTCATCTTTGACATTTTTCTTTGTCCTGATGTTGTTGACTTCTGAAGCTGTCACCTGTGGCATCTTTTTCAACGGCTCATCTAAGAGATGGGGACTTTCCATCCCCTTCAGCCTCAACATTGGTTCTTCTATTCCCCACCCCCCCATCTCCTGCAATGTGATGAATTCTTTCTGTTCCCCATGGACTGTGGCCACAATCTAAGACAGAATCCTTGACTCATATTTACTTGCTCTTCTGTGTGTGGTGGAAAGAGGATGAGATATTTGGTGGTGCACTTGGCATGACAATGAAACTGAGAACATTGTGTGTGTGTGTGCATGTGCAAAGTAGGCAAAATTGTGGGAAGTAACACTTAATGGAAAATAACAGTTTAATTGAAGTGCACATATTGCACAAAATGCCCAGATAGGTATTTGTCAGTTCTCTTCTACTAAGGATTCTACACTTAAATCCTTCAATCTCTGTCTGTTTATAATCTAAAAGCTCTTTGTTGTTTCCTTGTTTTAGTTTTTCAATTTGTTTATTTCTGCAAGAACAATAACGTGCTTGTGGTACTTTAAAATGCTAGCAAGTTTTATTTGACATCAGATCCCTTGGAATCTGATGAATGGGCTGCAGTCCATGGAAGCTTAAGCTTTGAACAAATGCTTAAGTTAGAAAATGCATGTCAGTTGTAAGCTTATAGCTATGCAGATTCCAGACAAAAATTTTAGTCATGCTTGAATCAAAAATACACAAGCATTAAAACATAGGAGCTCATAGCCTATAAAGGCAGAGAATACATCTCCATGACATTTCAGAGTTTTTAAGAACAAATCATAAAAAGCAAAATGCCTTATAATTTTCAATGCCAGGCATGAAAAACTTTAGAAACTTTTAAAAGTACTTTTTACAAAGTCAGAAGCATTATTTAGCTCTAAGCATATTGTTAACACACAGAAAAATACTCTCTCTAAAAAGAGAAAAGCTTATCCCAGCCTTTTAAGCCTTTATCTATGTTATTTCCATGGCTATTTCCTGGCTGCTGTCAGTCCATCTGCATCTTCCCACTTGTTTGCAAAAAAACAGGTGGCTGTGATTCTTGGGAGTTCTGTATCCTTTTGGAGATGTTCCCTAAATATGATAGAAATTTCTGTTTAAATACTTTTGATGTTTTTGAGTTAGTCAAATATCATGATGCACAGCTTTTGCTCTTCTATGGGTAAGCAATGCTGGCTTCTCCAGACAGCTGTAGGTTGAATTAGCTGGGTATGAGCTAACTACTAGCCAGGATAGCTTGTAGTTGGGGAAATGCCTCCACTTGGAGTGATTACTCTTAGGGTACTGCAGTATAAGATGCTATTATTTATGCTGCAACAGATAAGATTATTTCCTGCCTTGCTCCACCTTGCTTCTTTCGGGAGTATCCCATCTTTTAATTGTTGGGTATTCTTTTGTACTATATAATTTTATAAATGAAAAATCTATTAAAATGACAGCTTTTAAGATAAAAAAAGTGCGGATTTTAAAAAAATTATTATTATTGTTAAAAGATTGCCTCCTCTTTGATAAACAAGGTGCAGGGGACAGTGGAACTCGTGGTGGTGGTGGAGACATTTTAATTAACTACTTTGGGTGAATGTAACAAGAGGGTTGCTCAGGCCCTTGCAGTGATGCAATTGACAAATAATTGTTTTGACGGAATGGAGTCAACTTGGTCCAGAATATGCAACAAGAACGGTGAATGCAGGTCCTTTTAAAATGTTGCTGAACTTTAATGGTTGAATATACTGGGCAGGGACATGAAAACCAAGACGTGGTTCTTGTGCTTGTAAGAGTTGTATGGCAGAGTGGATTTCAACAGGTAAAGTTTATCATGTGAGCAGCACCTGCTGAAATCCCCTCATCTATACAACTTCTTAAGGTACAGGAGCCCTGCGTTCTTTTTTCATACAGACATCCTGTAGACACATAGACCTGTCTTTGTTCTGTTTTCTTTGATGGGCCTTAATTAACTCGTGGTGGTTTACAGGACAAATGTTAATGTTTCTTTTTTTGCCACCTTTTTCAGGTGCCAGCCCTAACTATGGCAGCGGATACTCAGGGGACACAGAGACCTTTACAACTTTCAGCTGGGATGACCGCAATGTACGCAGGGTGTTCATCAGGAAGGTAATGCCTGGAAACAGACAATTGTAGTTGGGGAATTCGTCACCTTACGATACATAAATTGGCCCGGCCATGTCAAAGTGCTTTCTGCCTCCATTTAAAACGTGGTTGGGCACCCGGCCACCAAAAAGCAGCAAAATTGGTAGCCATGCTGTTGGTAGCAAATAATAATAATACACATATATAGGCATCCTTCAGTCTCGAGAGACTATGGTAACATGCTCTGAATCGAGGAGTGTCCTCTCCAGAGCATGAAGCCTGGGTAAAGTAATATGGAGGACAAGCTGTTACCCAAGCAGCAGACCCCCCCTCTCCACATTGCTGAAATGGTCCAACGGAAAGGCAAGAGCCAATACGACTGGTTCCAGCAACGTCGCAGGAGTTGGCAGAACGACACGAGCTGCCATTGGGACTCGAGCTCCGGATTTTGCCTCAAGGTTAACTCCTGAAGCCTTTTCCATGAGTGGATATAGCCTCAAGGCAGTGGAGGTTTGAAATCGGAGTTTTCCTTTTCCTAGATGGGCTGCCTTCCATGGCTGACAAGCCCCACCTCTCTGGCCTGCTCTTTAATAGTGCAAAAGTATGATCTGACCCTTAAAACTTTCCTGCCTCCCAGGCTTATGCAAAGCTAATTGGCTTTCTTAAAAGTCCCACCCCTAGGCCCCACCCCCAGGCCATGTGGTGAGGAGACAAAAAGAAAGTCCAGGAAAAAGAAACTCAGCAAGGTATCCATGCAAACATACCTGGCCTTCACCCTCAGCCCAGCTTCCTAGGGAAAAAGGGTCCAGGGTCCTGGTACACGCTCTTTTAAAGCAGAAAGTCCCACCCCTAATAATAATAATAATAATAATAATAATAATAATAATAATAATAATAATAATAATAATAATAATAATAATAATAATAATTAATAATAAAACAGCAGCAGCAACAGCAATAATTACGTTGATGATGATAATAATGATGCAAAGTCCAGTCAAATCTGACTCATGGCAACCCTCCCAGGTATAAAGTTCTCAAAAATGGTTCACCCGCCCCTCCTTCTGGTAGTACTCTGGGTCTATGAATCTTGCCCAAGAACACATAGGTGGCAGAGCCTGTAACCCCCACCAAGCACACATGCTTTGGGTGATATTGGCTGGCCCTTCTTCTGAGAGGCACAGTTGGGAACTCACACTCCCAACCACTGGCTCTGCAGCAAGATGCTACTACACACTGATCTCTACCAACTTGCAGGTAATTTAAAAAAAGTATGCTGCTTATATACTGTCCCATAATTCTTAAAGCACTCTCTGGGTGGTTTACAATTTAATTACATAGGTTACACGTTGCCCCCACCCCAAGCAAGCTGGGTACTTAATTTACTGACCTTGGAAGGATGGAAGGCTGAGTCAACCTTGAGCCGGCTACCTGGGATTGAACCTGGGTTTTGAGCAGAGTTTTGGCTGCAGTACAGTAGCTTAACCACTGTGCCACAAGGCTAATAAAGAGGTATTTAAAAATCTAAGAAGTATAATAATGATCAGCATCCTTAAAATCTGCCTGGTATGGTGTAGTGAATAGAGAGTGAATTAGAATTCTGGAGACCAGGGTTCAAATCCCCAGTTGGCCATGGAAGCTCACTGGAGGTGTGAAACTGGTAAAACCATTCCTCAAAACTACTTACCATGAAAACCCTATTAGGGTCACTATAAGTTGGTTCTGAATTGATGGCATATAACTAACTATTCTTAAAATACTTTGTCGAATTTTGGGGAAATTTATTGGTGAATAAATCCAAGAAGAGCTTCATGATCTTACACAGAACCTGAACTGTCCCATGCATTAATCTTTTGCTGTTGTGTGTAATTTCTTGCAAGAAACATGGTCCAGTATGTTTTTCAGGGGTGTGGGTGTGGGGATGGGTGAGGCAAATAAAAGTCAGATCTAACTATCAGGCTGAGACAGTTCGCAGTGTTCCTCTCAGCTTGCCCAACCTTCTGTCACATGCTAGAGTAACCACAGAAATATTCTTTATCTGCACAAATAGTTTACAAACGTGGCCAAGAATTCTTATTCAGGATGTTTTCTGAGGAAGAATTTATACCAAAATATTTCAGGCTTAATAAATCTTTTCATCTATACCTTGAATCTCTTGCTCTAATGCATTTTTACAAGGGGGGCGGGCGGAATCCAGCTGGTTCCCTTGTAAATCTACAATCAGTTGAGGAGTGGAGATGGAAGCACATCTATGGGTCAGCCCCCCTCCCGCACACTGGCATCCATGCCAGTCATCTCCCCTGCCCCAGTTGTCCCAACAACTCCCATCATGTGGAAGAGCCTTTCATGTTTACAGTTGTGCCTAGGCACCACCCTTGGCACTGATGCTGAATGCCACTATATGTCTTTGGATGCTGGGGGCATCACCAATGGTAGTAGCTCTCCACACCCCTCAGAAATACATGCATTTGAAGTGTGTGTGTGTGTGTGTGGGTGTAAAGATGAAAAGAAAAGAAGACAGATAGGCAGGAAGATACAGAGTGAGTCTGCCTTGATTCTTTCAGGTCTAGATGAGGTCCAAGGAAAGCATTTGCTGGAGTCTGGCCTTGACCATGGTGACACTGATCCTTTTGTTTGATTTTAGGTGTACAGCATCCTCATGTTTCAGTTGCTGGTTACAGTTGGCATTGTGGCTCTCTTCACCTTCTGGTAAGTTTCCAGCCAAGCAACAAATATTTTGCTTAGAGTCCTTTTTCTGGTTTGGTTAGCAGACTAACTGTTCCTATGTCATTTTCCCCTGTGCATGCGAAATGAGGAGCTAAACATGTATGCCTGTTTTTTTAATGAATGTCTACTGAAGCCCCAAGGTATAAATGAAGCTGTCTTAAGGCTTATTCCAGCCCACCTCTGTATCATATTATGGTTTCTTCACCCTATGCAGAAATTCATATGTATTTCATGTGCATTTTTCAGAATATATGGAATTTCGACATGTTGCATATATTCTCACCTTGATTGAAGCATTTTATACCTATTTTTTAAGGATACATTTTTTCTTATACAAAGGCATGTATAACAAAATGGGTTTGAGTGCCATTTTGAATCCTCACATTATCGATTGGATAAGTTCATATGAATTTGTTAACCCAGTAGATTTCTTATGCATCCCCCTGTAGGTGTTTTTGAGCTAGTCACCTTGATTTCTTGGTTGTTTTGATTTTTTTTAAAAAAATCCGTATCTGGAGCACTATGTAGAATGAAGGCAAGGTTGAAATCATACAAATTCTTTGCGATGGTTTAAGCCAGAGTTGAGCAATTTCAGTGGGGCCAAGGACTGATTTTCAGATATTCCAGCACACTGAAAGCCACACCCCAACGGATGGAGCTCAAGGGGTAATGTTCATATTATTCCTAAAAAGTTAGTGCAGTGATTATGCACTGTGAAGGTTACTGTGGGAGGGGGTTGTTGTTCATTGAAAAATGGATTCAGCTAAAACAAAAGGGAGGGAGAGAGGAAAAAAGACACTTTTAAATCCCAAAAGCCCCCCTGTGTCCTCCAGTGGCCTCAAATGAAATTTTTGGAAAACCCATGTTGGTCACACATGGCTTTTTTGGGCCCTCCGAACAGGACAGGAGGAGGCCCATGGTTGGAGACCACTGCTCTAGTGGCCCCAAATGAAATTTTCAGAAAACCCATGTTGGTCACACATGGTTTTTTTGGGCCCTCAGAACAGGACAGGCTTGCCTCCTGTGCTCTCTTGCAGGCACAAAAGGCCTTTCACAGGGGAAAAAAAGAAAATTTAGTGTATATGGGTGGGCCGTAGAGTTGGGCACAGACCATGCCAGGTTTTTTAGTGCCCGGAGGCAGGTGGGGCAGTTTGTGCCCATTTCTGGTGGTCAGGGGTGTTAAAATGGCTCTAGGCTACACCTTTCACCTAAGGACCACAAGTAGCCTGTTTCAAGGCAAAAAACAATACACACAGTTGCCTCAAATATCATTTTAGATCCGTTTTGGTGGCAACTCCATCTATTATACTGAGTAGCCACCAAGACCGTGGGCAATTGCTGTTTTCCTGCATTATGTTGTGAGAAAGAAGGAAGGAAGGGCAGGGGGCTATTTGTGCAGTTTGTGAAGGCCATCTTACATGGGCATTGCAGGCCAGTGCTAGATTACTTTATCTCTCCCTTTGTTTTGTCACTGGCTTTGTCCTGGAGGGTCTTCTCTTGAAAAAGTCATTGGAATTCACCAAGGAAGCTGCATTCACTTTTATTCACAAATAACTTCATTGGCTGACTGCGTGAAGCTTATAGAACAGAGGGAGTCGGAAGAAAAGGGTAGCCTGGATCTAATTGCGTTTAGCATCAATAATAAATTGACGTCACTTGAGACCTTTCTGGCTATTTAATCAGCTTGCTTTGCAATGAAAAGTCATTTCCCTGGAGTAGAATAAAGTGAAGACATAATGTAGAGGATTGTGATGCACTCTCCACTAACAGGGAAACAGAGTAGCTTTGCTCCCCTTGAGTGCTAGGGAGGCTTAAGAGCCATTTCAGAAAGCAATGCTTGGTATTTATGGCACCACACCATTCTCAGCCTTGATTGATTTTGGATGCTAGGAAGGGTCAGGTCTGGTTAATACTCAGATAGGAGGCAACTGGGGAATATCAGGCACTGTATTGGGGAGAATGAGTGCTAAAGTGTGCTCAGGGCTTCAGTTCCAGCATCTCCAGTTAAGGCTGGGAAAGAATTCCACCCTGGACAGTGTCCCTATCAGCGTCTTGAGCTAGGTGGACCAATGTGCTGATTCTGTGTAGCGTTGTTTCCTTTGTTGTTATGTTCTTCCTGGGTTTCCAGATTTTGCTCTCCATCCAAAAGTACAGATATGTTTATCCAGGCTGTGCTTCAATGGTTCATGTAGCAGGACCCTTCCCTCACACAGCAGCAAAGTAGATTGGCCATTCTTTCCTTTTGATGTTGGGATCTGTCTGTCACACACACAACCACACAACTCTCTCTCAAACACACACAAACATCTCCACAAAAACAGCAGCAGCCTGGCTCCAGACGCAAAGAGCAAACTGAGCTCTCTCAGATGTGATTCTGTTCTATGACCAGAACATTACAGAATGGCCATGAAAAGCAATGGGAAGTACAGTGGACCCTCGACTTACAGACGGCTCGACTTACAGTCTTTTCGAGTTACAGACTTCTCTGGCTGCAAAATTTAGATTCGACTTGCAGCCGGAGAATCGACTTACAGACCAGAAAAAAAAAAAATGGAACAAAAATGGCCGGCTACGGATTAATCAGCTTTCAATGCATTGTAGGTCAATGGAGATTCAACCTACAGACTTTTCAACCTGCAGCCACCATTCCAATATGGATTAATTCTGTAAGTTGAGGGTCCACTCTAGGGAGATGTGGCAGCCATGGGATGGGAAGAAAAGAAGGCAGAGAGACAGTGGTTGGTGAGGTGGGATGCTTGGCATGCTGTATGCCGTCTCCATAGGCAAACACATTGGAAAGAAAGGTTGAATTTTCTCCGCTCTACCCTAATTGAACCGGTCTCATGTGCCTTTCTCTTCTCACCACAGTGAACCAGTCAAAGGATATATCCAAGCAAATCCGGCCTGGTACTGGGCTTCCTAGTAAGTACTGATCCTCTTTATGGCATTCAGAATTTGTAATGTGCAGAATATGGCAATCAAAAGAAGGGAAGAAGACAAAAACACTTCATTACTGTGTGTGTCCCCCTTCCCTGAGAATAGTCACTTGCAAAATCCTAGCCAATCAGGGTTCAGGTGATGGGTTGGGTTGACTAACTGGGGTTGATAACTAGGCTGGGTCTGAAACTAACCATTTCACACCATTCCATAAAAAGCTTCATTTGTCCAGTTTATGTATCTGTCTGTGAGGCTACCCTTAAAAACACAGGAAGGCCAGGGAAGAAAGCAGCCACTCGAGTGTGGTCCAACTATACCTGAGTCACAGGTAAACCTTTCCGTGTTAACCAGGTATTCAACCTGAATAATTGTTGGGCTTACCGGATTTCCTTCCTCTCCGTACGGTATTAAAAGTATTTCCTGATGTGGCATGTCCTGTGATATCTACAAGGTTATTTTGGGGATTTCAGGGAGACTAATGGATCGTTCAGCAGAGGAGCAGTGCTGAACGCTGAAAGAGGCATGGGTCAACAAAATTCAGAACCTGATGCTTATTTTATTTTTTTATACTTGCAGCAGAAACTTTGGACAGAACAAGGGTGGCTTTTGCAACTTTAATAGCGGTGTAGAAGAGGAAATGCTAGAAGCTATTGCTTGTGCGGCAAGTTACATGGTTTGATTTTCTTTCTTCTATGCAGCTGTTGGAGGTATAGAAACCTTCTACTCTTTTTCTACCCAGCTGCTCTAGGGTGAAAATGAAACTTTGGGCATGGCTAGATGGCTCAATTGGAGGGGGCAGAATAGGGTCATTTAAAGTCACGTAGAAATCCAGTATGCATTTGGTGTGATCCTTGCATCCACACAGAATACACACCTCAAGTAAACCTATTTGGCCTGCTCCCCTTAAGAAAGGAAAGAAAGCAATCAAAACAAAACAAGCCCCCTCCTTACCCCTCAGCTTTCATATTTTAATATTTTATTTCTAAGAAATCAGCGCTGCCTTCATAGACTGTAAAAAAAAATATCCAAAACTTTGCTTCCTGCCTCTGCGCCATCTGGTTTTATTTTCCCAATATCGTTAAGCTTAGCCACGTAGTGATATTGAGAAAGCAGAGGAAGTTTTTAATTTTCCAGTATAATTAAGTGACTAAACTTGACAATATTTGGAAATGACAAATTTAAAGTGGCAAGTTCCACTTTGGTTTGATCCCAAAAAGGAGTGAACCAGCACATCCCCACAGCATACCAAATTTGAGGGTATATGTGGATGGTATCATAGTCCACACTAAGCAATTCTCAGGATTCAATCCTGTCTGTCCTACTTCTGCTGCTGCACTAAATAAAGTAGAGGATCATAGATGAGAGGAAAACATATCTTGAGCAGGCACCATATTTTTCCATTTTTTATTCCATTTTTATTGTTAACTACCCAGAGTAGACTTCGGTCTAGATGGGTGGGGTATAAATCAAATTAATTAAGTTCCTCTTCAGTTCTCAAGACATTTAATACTGTTGCAGCTTACAAAAAGAAGGGGGGGAGAAAAAAAATGAATGAAAAGAAAGACACTTGAGAAAAGGCTTCACAGTCCCAGGATTAGGGGGCTAAGATGAGACATAAGAATGGTAGATGGGCTGGCCACGTGAAACAAAACAAAACAGGGTTCCTAGACCTTTACTAGTTGTGTGGGAGAGGAGATCGCCACAAGGTAGCTAAAAGTCCCTTATTTACATAATTATTAAAAGTCCCTCTCCCCTCGTTTATTTCTGGCTCCCCTAATGTTAGGTGGGTGCCCCTCATCTACCTGGACTCTCCAGACCGACCACATACCACAGCCTTGCTGCTGCAGAGACAACTGGAATTTTGTGCTCACTGAACTGCCTCCTCACCAGGCAGGAGTTGACAGTCCCGTGAGCGGGTGTGTGTGTGTGTGTGTGTGTGTTACTCTCTGCACCCATTCGCCGGGTGGAAAAATACTTCTGGATGTTTTGGACTTTATGAGTGGGTTGATCTTTTATTCCCCATTGAATCAAATGTTTGGGATTACTAGAAATTCTCCACTGTGCTTAATGAGTTGGTTGTGTGTGAAGGATCTTCCCTCAAACATCCCTCCCCCCTTTGTTTTGTTGTAGTTAAACTGCATTTCAGGAAAAACTTTTCCACTTTCCTTTCTAGTCCTTAGGCTTCCAAGATGGTCCCGGGGCTCTGCATGGAACCTGAGAGGCTGTTGGCTGGATGTGCCAAGTCAGGCACATGGTTGCATGTTCCTCTCCCACCCTGATTTCCCATTAGGCCAGATTCTGTACTGAGTCTTGCTTTTGTGTAATGGTAGCTATTACACTGATTCAAATTCAGACAGGCCACCACCAGTGGGGTTTTATCTAGGTTTGGCATTTATTGTGTATCTACTTCAATCTTCGCTTGGACATGAGGCCATCCCACATGTTGGCTGAGGGCATCCCTTTTGAGGCCCTCAATCTGGCTCCCTCCCCAAGTGATTTGGACAACATATCCCATAACTCTGAGCCAAACTAGCCCAGTAGTTTGGGCTGATGGGAGTAGCACTGGAGGGCATCAGGCTGGGGAAAGCAGTGGTAAGTCGCCTACATCAGTGGTCCTCAACCTTGGGCCTCCAGATGTTCTTGGACTTCAACACCCAGAAATCCTGGCCAGCAGAGGTGGTGGTGAGGGCTTCTGGGAGTTGCAGTCCAAGAACATCTGGAGGCCCAAGGTTGGGGACCACTGGCCTACATGATCAGTGTAGGTACTGACCCATACTGGATCTGTAAACTTCTATAGAGAGGGAAACTTTGGCCAGACAAATCTCCCTGTATTATTACTTTTATCTCTTTTGAATTACATTACCTGAATTGAGCCAGAGGTAAATTTCCAGTCTTGCATCTCAAATTTCACTGTTACTACAGAGGACATGTCATACCTGTCTTCAGTTTTATAGATCATTATCCATTAAATATAGTGTTTGTGCGGCCTTAGGGAAGTTGTGCTGTGGAGGCACTTGACCAAAGTGGTCAGATGTGACCTGCCAGTTGGGGCTGGACTGTAGCTCCAGGGATCCCTTATCATTGGCTGTGCTGCCTAAGGCTGGTGGGAAATGGCAGTCTTATGGCATGAGGATGGGAAGGATGTGTGTGGCCTTTCCCCTGGGCACAGACACATCTCAGGCATTTCATGCCCTTTCCCATACTGGAATGGAACTGTGTCCAGGGAAGCACCATAGCTCTGTGTTACAGGATGGGCTTTGCGTATGTATGTTACCAGGTTCCATTCCTGGCATCTCCAGGGAGAGGGAAAAAATGTTTACCCAGTCTTAGGGAACTGTTGCTAGCCAGAATAGGGCAAGATCTTTCCTGGGCAACAGGTGGCCCTCTTGATGCTGCTGGAGAACAACTCCCATGAGCCATTTCCACTGCTGATGGGAGTTGTGATTCAACATCTGGAGGGTCATCGATTGTTCACTCTTGAGCTAAGCCAAAATCAGTCTCATCCAACCTGCTGTCAGAGATATGTTCTGAAAGGTCAAGGCCTGCATGGAGAAAGACTTTCTTCCTTTTCCCCAAAGCAGTGGTTTCCAACCTCGGGTCATCCAGATGTTCTTGGACTGCACCTCCCAGAAGTCTTCATCACCAGCAGTTGTGCTGGCCCCGGGTTTCTGGGAGTTGCAGTCTAAGAACACCTGGGTCACCCAAGGCTGGGAATCATTGACCCGAAGGGTAACAGTTTGATATTTACTTATGTGAAATGAACTGAAGGGATGTACTGAAGGAGACTAAACTCACATTCTGACCTTGGTAACACAAGCTGTTGGCCAAAATCCTGTTGCTTTCCATAGTAAATTATTCTGGAGTAGGCTAATTTAATCAGTGAGTCAAATCCTCCACATGTTCCCTTGATTCAAACGAGCCTTCTCTAACTATGACTTACTGTACTAAAGTCAGTTACAGTTTGAGTATTCCCATTTGAATCAATTGAATTTCCAGAGGAGGGAATCTCTAAATCTCCATTTATGCAATGGGCTTACTCTAGTGTGATTTGCTAGGCTAAGCAACAAGATTTTGGCCAATAAGTATCATTAGACTCTTGTCTAAATAGTTCTTGCCCTTCATTTACCTAGCTTCTTTCATCCTGTTTCTTGGACACTGGAGATTGTGAATGGAAGTTGCAAGCTTGCTTTTAAATAAATCAATAATAATAATCATACTGAGTTTTCATATAGCATTTTAAAAGAATGGCTAACGTAAGATAAGATACAAGAGGCTGGGAAACCTTTCACTCTCTGGCTGTGTGGGATGGCTACTCCCTTAATTCTCTACAACTGGCAATGCCAGGTCAGTCTGTTGGGAGTGGCAAGGCCGAAGAGGCTCAGAGGTTCCCCACCCCCACCCCCCTTGCTTCTCTTCAGGGCCAGCCCTAAATATCCCTCTGCCTGAGGAACAATGGCCAACAATGGTACAGTTGCCTCCACCCAAGTTGAGGTGTTTTGTAGCTAAAACCAGCCAATGCCTAATAAAATAAAATCCCACAAACACCTCTTGTATTCTTACAGTTATAATTACATGGGCATTAAAATGTGGTAAGAATGATAGCAGTTTCCTATTCTTTCTGAAAATCTGAATAAGCTCACTTTGCCTAAAGGTAGGGCAGGCCCTCATGCTCAATAGGAAGGAGGAGAAGCACAGTAGAGAGATTCTGCTTCAGCAGCCACGCACAGCTTTTTTTCCTGGGTTCATTTTTTTTTTGTCTCTCTGCTTTTCCCTCACAGTGCTGTTTTCTTTATTACCTACATGATTCTGGCCTGCTGCTCTGGACCCAGGTAAAGCGCTTTTTTCGTGGACTTCAGTAGGCATTGGTGTTCCTTTTCCAGCTAGTTATTTACTGCTCGGGAAAGATAACCTTTTCTACTTGGTGGTACTATAGCTTGCATATTATTTTACCAGAACAATCTAGACCTCTTACTGTCATTCCCTCCTCCACCTTAGTTTCTACTTTCTACTGCCATGGTCCACCAATATATAACCCACCAGAATTCTCTCTGATGTCTGGCACTTTTGAACTTCTTGCATGATAAGATATGGTAGTGGCTGCCTAGTTTTTTTTTAAATAGGGCCTGTTCACATTACAGAAGGAAGTGCATGATGGTATGTCTCTAATATCTGTTCATTTACAGATTTACCAACTGAGCAAGGGTGGAGTAGGGAAAAACCCAGTCAGACAGTGGTATTCTTTAATGCAGTGCCAGTTTTTCAAATGCCACAAAAACAAGAACAACGAAACACAAAACACAACCCAAAAAGCAGCCGTTTGACCAAGAGTAGGGAATCTTTGGTGCTCCAGATGTTTTAAGCTTCAGCTCTGGGAGACCTGAGCAAATATGGCCAACAGGAAAGAGTGTGGGTATGGGTCTCCAAAATATCTGGGGGCCCAAAGGTTCACCACCCCTGCTTTAAACTTCCCCTGCTTCCCTTTGCAAGCCGTCTGTCCTTTTGCTTTGGGTGGTGACTGTGAGGAAAGGCTGTTGCTGTAATGTGCTGGTTTAGAAAGGGCAAGGAAAGGGAACTTTTTTCCCCACTTGAATCTGATGCCCTTTTTGAAAGTGCCCACGTATTTCAATTTCTTGATAGTATTAGATAATGTGCTGTTTGATTAGGTTTTACCAGCTTTTCAGCCAGCCTTAAAGCCTTGGCCGTAGTGGCAACTATATCCACAGCTCTTCAGAGGTAATAGTAATATTCACCAGCTGAATCTGTGGCCTTGATCTGTGGTAAAATTATAACCACTGCAAGGCCCGGTCATAAAAGTGCCTTCACTCCAATTGCCAATAGATTAGCAAGAGCCTTGATACTGGAGCACCTTGTGAGTCATAGTTACCTGCAGAGTTCTACGTGCTGCTGCCCGTCTGCTTTAGTGGTTGTGTTGTTCCTAAATTTTGCATTACGCAAGATGATGTTATGCAATTTTCCTTTCATTTGCTCTTTGAGTGATAAAGCTGACTTGGCTGTTTTTTTTTTTTTTTCATTTAATTCGCAGGAGGTACTTCCCATGGAACATGATCCTCCTGAGCATCTTTGTAAGTGGCACACACCTGACCCTGTCTGTGTGGGGTTTTGGAGGAGATGCAAGAGGACAACACAGCCAGCCCGAGAACTCACACCCATCCATTTTCAGTGACTTGAAAAGTTTGCTGTTGGTCCAGAGGCTGTGCTGAAGGAGTGGTTGATCCTGCAGCATTTGGGATCTGGCAGTACACCACTTATAGCAGCCAGATAGGAAAAAGCACAGGTCTCCTTGTACACCTTCAAGGCTTGTATAGAAGAGAAAACTATCGGGTAGCACGCCCATCGTGCAGAGCATGAACATGCTGGTTGCAAGATTTCTGAGAGTTATATAGTAAAAACTCCAAGCTTTGGGTGTGGTCATGCAACTTTAGAAAAATGGTACCAGTTAAAATTCCTAACTGTTCCTGGTTCCTCTTCACAGTCAAGTGATAATTATTATAATTATACCCAGTTCAACAAACACAGAGCATACCTCTGCCTGAGTGTTTACATAACCATCTTGTGCTTTTTCTGACCTCGGAGGTGGAATAATTTCAACAGTCCAACAATTTCATTAGTCCAAGCCAAGAGCAACAGGCTTTCACAGAGTGGAGCATCGTGTTGCAGCTTATCTTGACAGGTGGTGCAACAGCTCCAACACCAATGGCAAGACAGGGCTCAGCCATTGCAGAGAGTTGAAGCAAAACTGAAGTTACACTGAACTCTACAGTAATATCAGTGTCCAGAACTATACTTAGTATTTTAAAGAGCAAGCTCATTAAAAAAAACACATGCTAGAACTAATACTTCTGGTCATATGACCCCACTGAATTCATTGTGACTTGCTTCTGAGTGAATGTAAATAGAATTAGACTGCATGTTTGCTGTCTTCATGTGCACCAGGACGTCACACAGAAATCATTACAACTTAGATCGATGCCATCCATGCCTAAAAGCTTTTTTTTGTCTCTTGGCATGCATGAGTGAAAGACAGAAATATTCTTCTCAGTGTGCTTGGACTAGATTTTTGAAATCAGCTGGTGCCCATGCAGGATGCTGGACTTAATATTTCATTTCAACTTCTCTGCATTTTTGGTGCCACCAAGCAACAATCTGAGGTGCATTTTTAGTCATCTATCAGTCTTTTTTCTTCAGAATGGTGGCAATTTTTAAAGCAACGGCTCCTCCTGCTCATGCATCTTAAGCTTCTCTTGTTTTTATAGACATGTTTATTTGGTTATTTATAGTAGACACAATGGTTCTCTCATGTAATTCCTCTTCCTTTTCTTTGACTTTGACCAGGAAACACACACACACAGTCCCATTTCCTATGAAAGAAATCATCATCATTATCATCTTCCCCTCCATGGCACAGTTATTGTTGAGGCAAAGGGGCTTGCGTGCTTCAGTGAGATCGACAGCTATGCTGAAGGGTCTCCCGAGCCAGATAGGCCTCAGCTGATAAGCCAGACCAATGGTGTCCACCAACCATAAATTAGGATGAGAGGGAATAAACAGAAATCCATACTCTATCAGTCATTGCCCGGGTCAACAAGGACTGAGTCAGATGCTACAGCCCCTGAGCATCTGGTGACAAATGGGTTACAGGGCTGAGCAGACCCTGTTGAGGGACCAGGATAGGCTGCGACAAAGCTACTGGAACAACGTAAATGCAAAACTGGAAATTGAGAAATTATGAAATGTTATTACGAGGCAAACCCAACAGCTCGTGGTTTTTAAAAAAAGAATGATGGAAATTTGGAAAAAGAAACATCCAAGTAGTTACATAACCGAACAATTAATGAACCAGAGAAGGTTTATCATCCAGAATAAAGTGTTTCCAGAACTGAAACTGCAAGAACTAGAAAAGGTGACATAGTCAACACAGAACAATGACCATAATATGGAAGACAAATGGAGAGTAGAGGTAGACACAATAGTGGAATAAAATGTATCAATAGAGGAACAATTTATGAAACAACCCAGAAATTATGAGTTGACAGAATATCAGACATCACCGAAGGAAAAAATAGTAACCCATATTAGCCAGAACACAGAAAGACAAAGGCTCCCCAATTTGTGCCAGTTACAAAGTAAACCAGTAAAAGAACTACTAACTGATGTAAATGTAGTCATCAGAACAATCCCAACCAACACACTAAAGGAAACAAACTAAAGGGATTGTCGCTCTTGAATTGGCCTCCTCAGCCACACTAGACGCTGTTCCAAGTCTTCCATACAGAGCATGATACCATAGTCTCTCGAGACTGAAGGATGCCTAAAGGTAAAAAAAAAGTCACAGTAGCCAGAATTCATCTAGCAAAACAGGAACAGACTGTGCTCCTGGATGAACAAACCAGTGGTGGTCATGCTGAGGAAGATGCAAGTGAACATATCATAAAAAAACAGTCTTAGAAAAAAAGTCACTATAGGTCTGCTGTCTTATCTGGAAACCAACTGAGTGGGCAGCTATAGACTGGAGAGTAACTCCTTTTCTTCCTCCCGTCATGATATTTGCACCGTCTTATTTCATTTCTTGCCATGTATCCATTCTCAAGGAACAGTCAGGAAAAACTAAGAGGAACTGAAATAAAGTAAGGGAAAAGTCAAGAGCTACAGCTGCGGTTTACTCCCCAGTAAAATGATTGAGTGGAGGTTTACTGCTCAAGGCAATATACTGCTAGAGGAATACTTTCTAGTGTTATGTAGGTCAGTGGAAGCCCACAAAACTTGTGACTTCTACTAAATCCAAATAGCATGTGCCATCTTTTTACAATGACACTGTGACTGAGGCACTCTGACCTTCTGTTGTTTTTCCCCCAATGCCAGATGAGGAGCAAAATCAGGCCATTTATTGAATGCCATGGGAAATGGATTTTGGCTCATAAGGCCTGCCAATACTAGCCATATTATGCTTCTTTTCCTTTAAGCTTGTGCATTAAACTTGAGCATGTTTCTCTCCACAGACTCTGTCTATGGCCTATCTCACTGGGATGCTGGCCAGGTAGGTCACTCACTGAAGGAGTTTGAATGATTGGCTGTATTTTGTATGTGCAAAATACAAAGATTTTCATTCTTATGTATCTCTGTCTCGCATTTCTTCCGGTATCATTCGTCAGACACTTTCTCCCTCTCCTCCTCTTTCAGTAAGAAAAAGATAAAGCAAAACAAAGACATGAAAATGTATGTCTGGATCAGAACTTGGAGATGAATCTTAGAGTTAACATGTTAATGTTTACATTTTACTTCTGCATGAAATGGGAGGCAACTTTGAGAAAATAATGGCTTAAATCCTGTTGGACAGTTACTCAAATTGTGTAAGTTCGGGAAGCAAATTGTTGAAAGTTAAGAAATCTCCATAGACCTTATTTGTTGTATACTGTAGTGAGTTGCACAACTCAACATGCAACAGATAACGCCTATTAAGATTTCTTAACTTAAAGAGTTTCATTTAAATGTTACACTGTTTGCAGAACTGTGGAATAGGATTTCAAGTAATGTTTGAAAAGTAACAGTTTTTACCATAAACACTTTAAATTGACACATTCTTTCGAAGATTTGGTCTTAGTAGATAAATTTCAACATGTGCTTTCCAGTACGTCTCATATGTGGCCTAGATTTAGGCTTAGGATTTTTGAATATTTTTTATCAATTACAAAACCCATAATTCTCTATTCTGTGAGTTCCACCCGATAGACCCATACCTGTAGGCACCTAAATGTGGCTTAGTTGGAAAAAAAGGCCTAGTTGGGAAGGCTTGTGGCCTAGCTTCCTGTTCAGAAAGGAAGCTCCCAGGTAGCAGAATGGAGAATGATCGGATTGGTAGTAAAAAGAAAAGAACCGAACAGAAAAGAAAACCTCATGCCTACCCAGGTTTTCTTTTCTTTTAGGATTTGGTGTGTGCCCAGTTTGTATCAGACTGTTTTGCTTCTCTGCTGTATTAGAATTCCTCCCCGAAGAAAACTGGTGTGTGTGGGGGGTGATGAATGGTGCCATTTTCCCTGAACATTAATTAGCCCCAGAGGAAATAAGGAAATAAGGATGGCTTTGCTTAATATGCCCAACATTTCTCTGGCTCCCCATCTCAGTGGCAGGGGACTCTGGAAACCTCACAGACAGGGCAGGATGGTGAGGGCGACCCCCAGTTTTAGTGTCTGATTCTCCCTATATCACAAAAGGCCGATCATGTCAAGCAAGACCAATTGTATTAGAAGAAGGTCTTGAGGGGCAGCAGTGCTAGCCTCCCAGCTGTTCTTCCTGAGGCCGCTAGCTAATTCCCTCTCTTAGAGAAAAGTGGGGTGCATGGCACACTGCCCTTGATCCCCCTCAGCTAGCGTGCTGTCATCAGGCATGATGGGGCATCAGATCTGCCTGGTGAGAAAGCTTCAGTGGTCAGTCCAGTCAAGTTATGTGCATGGAAGGGACAGGCACCATCTTGTCTCTTGGCTCCAGCCTTACATGTCTGGTGCAAGGCTGTAGAAATTCCAGCTCCCAGTGAAAGCTGGTGGAAAAAGGAGTCATCCAGGAATATGGTGGACTGTTTTCCTCATGCAGGTTACAGGGGGAGCCTTTAATTACACATTTCCTGGCTGAAATGTGCATTTCTTTAGTCATTCAGAAAACAGATATAGCTTATGGAGTGGATTGTGGGGGCTGCTCTGGCCACAAGCACCTTAGACCAAAACATACTGCTTAGGAATTACCATTCTCGAAACAGATTTTCTTGATTTCCCCCTCTCTCTGCTTGTTGCTTGGCTCTTTCATAGGTTGTGTCACTTAATCTCACTATTCCTTCTGCAGCTTCTACAACACCAAGTCCGTCCTCCTCTGCCTGGCAATTACAGCACTGGTGTGCGTCTCTGTCGTCATATTCAGTTTCCAAACCAAGGTAAATGAATGTATCTCTTAGTTGGGCTGAAGTTCCCCATCATCACAGCCCCATTTACAGGTGGACGAGCTTGTTTTAATCATTTTTTTTCAGAGGTCTTTGGGTGCTTTTTAGAGTAAAGGAGCAGAATACAAGGCACATTTCCATTAAGTGGGGATGGGTTTCAGACACAGGTTATTATAGACTCTGTTACATTTCACCTGCTTGTCCGGGCAGGTTTGGGCTGCCTTGGGGAGCAACCCTAACCTGGAAGCATGTTTCTATTTTCTGCACAAAGCGAAGTTCAAGAATGACTCAAATAATGCCAGGACGGGGCTGTCTCTGCCACGCCTTTCCGCTTTCAGATGACCTGAAAGTGAGAGTCAGAACAGGGTCAAACATTTACTGATGCCTTTCCTGCCAGAGGTTAATTGCCAGAGGTTCAGCACCTCATTCCCTGCCATTTTGGGACCAAAACCTCAGACCAGGAGCCAAGGCCTTGTAATGTTAGGCAGAGATAGGTGAGCCAATAGATAAAGGGGCAGAAGTACTGTATTTTTCTGTGTATAAGACAATACTTTTGTCTAAAATCTAAAGACTAAAAATTGAGGGTCGATTTATACACTGACGTAAGCTGAGGATAGAACAAAAACAAGTGGAGGGGGAAAGGGATCAAAGCAATCCTGTCACGCTTTGGTCCCTGTTTCCCCCCTCCACTTGCTGAGCCCCATGGGGCTGAGCAAGTGAAGGGGTAAAGCAGGGATCAAATTGCTGCAGGATTGCTTGGATCACTGCTTTCCCCTTCACTTGCTAAGCCTCCATGGGGCTTAGGAGTCCTGCAGCCCTTTGATCACTGCTTTCGCCCTCCACTTGCTAAGCCCCATTGGGCTTAGGAAGTGGTGGGGAAAGCAGCGATCAAATTTTCTAATTTGGGGTTAGAAAAGTGGGGGTTGTCTTATACATCAGGGCGTCTTATACATGGAAAAATACAGTACTTCTGGTCCAGCTGTCTACAGCAAAAGGGACAAACAGCTAAGTGGACTCAGAATACCTGAGCTGTGCCTTAGCAGCTGAACTGGCAACCCAGAGCTGAGAAGAAATCATTATTTTTAGAACCTAGCCAGGCAGCAAAATGCCCAGGTGCTTCACTGAATGCTGGCATTCCTTTGAGACCTTGCCTCCTGCCCTGCCTCAGGTATAGTGCACAAATACAGGTTATTATTGTGGTTTTCCAAACTCTCCTCTGCTGCCGGAGCTTAAGGAAAGCTCACTGCCATGCATGGGGAGTTGGATTTCTTTTCCCTCATACCTTGCTCTGCTTTTCCTACAAAAATCATTCTTGTTCCTCTCCCAGTGTTGCTGTGTATTTCTGCACCTGGAGAACAGGAGAACAAATCTCAAAGTGTAATTAGATGGGCAATTGTCCTGTGGTTCAGTCTGGGTTGGGAATAAGCTAGTTCACTCCTTTTCCTGTCAACCACACAACTTACATGCCATTGCAAACCAGTTCACTCTGATCCATGCCTACCTGCACTGTTTTGGGGTTGTTGTTGTTGATGATGCAGGCGAGGTTCACTCCATTTTGGTTTGTTCCAGCATGTGTGATTGTGGGGGTTGAACCAAAGTAGCTGGCTTAAACTGTTAATTTGCTTAAATCACTGAATAGCCTTGAGACATGGAAAGCTTCCTTGCTGTTTACCTGCGAAGGAGAAGGAGGGAGAAGTTTTTTTAAAAAAAAACAGCTTCCTTGCTGTTTACCTGCGAAGGAGAGGGAGGGAGAAGAAGGTTTTTTTTTAAAAAAAAAAAACCTTTCAAAGCATGACTGATGCTCAGTATTGGTTTGCAACAATTAAAAAGAAATGGAAGACTTCCTCTCCCTTCCTCTCCATAGGCAAATGGCAAAGAAGCTTTCCATTTCTCAAGATTGTTAATTGATGTAGACAAAGCTTGGAGGAGGAGACAGGAGAAGGGTGTTTGTCTTTTTTGCTTCTCTTCCCTTTAAAGGGAAAGATGATGAGTCTAAAATCTGGATCATGCTAAAGCTCTGAGCTCAGATTGCCTTCTTGAATCCTCCCATTTCTGAATTTGCTCCACTAGAAGCCCAGAGTATATTCCAGGATATACATAACGGGTAATCAAAATGTGGCTCTGCAGATGTCCTTGGACTATGGCTCCCATCAATCTGCACCTTTGTTCATACTGGTAGATTTGGTAGGAGTTGTAGTCCAACAATATCTGGGGGGCTGGTAGTCCCCACCCAAACTCTGCAGTTAAACCTGTTTGAGAACAAGCATGGATCTTTAAAAATAGTAGATGTCATTAGAGATGAGTATGAAGTGCCTGATCCCAATCCATATGCATGGCACTACAGGTGCTACACATTCTCTCTCCCCTGACCAGCTGCCCCACTCGCAAGCCTTGGTCCGGGCAGGAGCCCAGGCTTCCCTTCTCTGCCTCCTCTGGCAGCTGATCTCTCACCAGCTGTACAGAGAGAATCCCCATCCCACCTCATTGTCTGAGTAGTTGGCTGCTGGAGGAGGCGGGAAAGGGAAGCCCAGGCTCCTTCCCGGACTGTACAGATTGAAGGGAGAGTGGATTCTCTGAGTAGTTGGCTGCTGGAGGAGGTGGGAAAGGGAAGCCCAGGCTCCTTCCTGGACTGTACCGATTGAACGGAGAGTGGATTTTAAGTGTTGGGTGGTGTGCTTCGGCTTGTAAGTGGGATAGCCAGCTGGGGAGGAGGAAATGTGAGGCACCTGTGATGCTACGTATGCAAATTGAGATCAAGTGCTTTGTGCCCATCTCTAGATGTCATAGGGTGGAATATAACCTAAGAAGGATGAGCATCTGGGACTAAATTAAATATCAAACATCTAACCATTTTTTTAAAAGGAAAGCATTTATGGTTATGAAGAAATTTCCAGGGTGGTAGCCATTTGAGGTTCTTGCAGTAATCGCTTGTAGTCCCTTAAAGGCCGATTGGCATATGTTTCTGCAGACCATAGCCCTTCTTAAGCAGAAGGACTTGTGCATGTATGGAAGCACCTTATGTGCTGCCTATAGAACCGGAAAGGGTGGCTCAGATTCCTCCATCCAGCGTACACTGATGCATTGATGACCTCTTGTTTCCTCCCACAGTACGACTTCACTTCTTGCCAGGGGGTGCTCTTTGTGATGCTGATGGTGCTGTTCTTCAGCGGGATTTTTCTTGCCATTATGCTTCCTTTCAAATACGTAAGTCTCATCTGGCCTCTGCCCATTGGTGCCATCCCCTGTGTCCTTCCACATGTCATTGAGGTGGAACACCCAGAGAGGATGTGTTGTGCCTTGACTGTGCTCAGTTGTGGATCTGGAATGGAGGCGATGTCATTCAGCTCTCTGTTGCCCTCACTGAAGCAGTTCCATCTTCACAACCAAGATCAAAAGAGCAAAATGGGGGCAAGAATTAGGGTAGTCCCCTCTTGAAGACTGTCAGTGGAAAATCCTCCTTCTGACGGTGTCCTCTGGTTCCGTTTGGAGGAGCCTTGAAATGTTCTATCCCCAGTTAGCAATCCCTGGGCAGCGGACTCAGCAGGCCATGCAGGTCACTGTGTTTCCACTTGAGCAGGAGTCATTTCTCATTTTGCATCTCGAGGTACAAATCAGCATATGCAGTTTTATACACATCTTTGGTGGTGCATATGATCTTTTGTGGGGAGGTGAAAGAGGCTGTTCCAGTAGATATAAAATAGATCTTTGTTTGCAGATGCTTGAGTTCCATGTGATTTGTGGAAGTGGCACAAGACATGCTGGACTGATAACACAAGCTAAGAATATTACACCTCAGGGTTTCCTCCAGTCATGGGGAACCTCTAAATATATTTCAGAACGAAATGTAAGCATTTACATAGTGCTTAGAGTACTGGTTGATTGGCTGGTTTCCTTGCTTACTTGAAGCCTTTAAAATTAGATACAGTTTTGGGCTTTAGAATGTCTTCATCTAGTCCTTCATACACTAAATATTAAGACCATTCTGCACATTCTATGGTTGCTGGTCAACCTGATATAGTTATCCTGATATAAAATACGATTCTTAGTCTGGCAGGACCCCTGAATCCCAAGGGAACTGTATTGTTGTAACACAGCACTGTGGAACATCAGGTGTTTAGCTAGTGACTGATGAAGACTTTTGTGGAACTCTAAATGTTATATTTTTCCATACCAAGCAGACTTCATTCTATCAACAAATGCTCCTTTATATTATAAAGCCAAAGATAAAGAGGAATTGATAGTGGTTGTCAATTATTACTATCCAAATTGTATCCAGCCACAGGGTTTTGGATTTTTTCGACTTTTGTTGTTGTTTAGTCGTTAAGTCGTGTCTGACTCTTCCTGACCCCATGGACCAGAGCACGCCAGGCCTTCCTGTGCCTGCCTTGTCAGCACCCACTAACAAGAAGTTTTTCCTGGAGGGTCACTAGCTGCTACCAAGGCCAGTAATAAAAGGCTGTAACTATGAAAAATTGTTAACAACCAGTCCTCATAGTAGCTGTCACTATGAAACATTACTGAAACATTAATGAAACATTACAGTACTGAAACACTAATGAAACATTACTGAAACATTAATGTACAGGTGATTTTGGGTGATTTTTACTATGCTACAATGAGTAACTATAGAAAAGTTTTGTAGAAGTTTAGCTGCCCATTCATTGTACGTGAATGCTATGTCTTGACGTTTACCACTTGGAGCAAACAACAGGCACCTAGCTGTGCTAGGCATGATGCTTAATAACATTTACATGATACTTGTTATCTTAGTTAATTTCACAGTGATGGCACCAGATAGGATGGTACAGGTACTTCACAGTGGAGCTAAGAGATTGTCGTGTGGGTGGGAGCGGTCACTTGGATGGACACATGGTGAGAGATTTCAGCTTCTTGGGTCATTGTGAGTTTATGATGGTGTGTATGTGAAGAGGCTAACAAACCAATCTGATGGCTGAGAAGAAAAAAATCAAAAGAAAAGCTTATTTCAGGCGAAAACCCCCTGCCGTTAGCTCAGCCTTGCAAACAGACAGACAGACTACAGTCCATCTAGAGTGGCCCTGCTAACCTTTTGTACCTCACCTTTTGTACTTTGCCATTGGTGTTCTCTCTGTTCTCTTCTGAACAGGTTTGCCGGGTCATCTCCCCATGCGTATCTTGATGTCTTTGGCTGTACTGTGGCTTCTGTTTTCACATCTTGTGCTAGTGCTGTGCTCAAAATTTCAAAGTGTTGACTGTTCTTAATCGATTTGATAGAAATTTCCTTGAGGGGGAAAAAATTCGAAAGAAATGTTTGTGGATAAATTCAGGATTGTTGCACTTGCCTTACTTTAGAGGTAGCTAAGGAATGTGTCTGTATATCTTATCTCTTTGATTGTACAATCATCCCTGTAGCGGCCAGCATCCTCTCCAGCTTCCCACTCTCCACTTAACACCCAGGGCCCTAGGAGAAGGGTCATGTGTTGGCTTCTGCCACATGGTTCTTTCGGATCAGGAAGTCTGGGCAGAGGGGGAAGCTGCAGAGTGAGGAAGAGATTAAAAAGAAACATAGCAGACTTGGCCAACTTGCAGTATTATGGTACATTCAAAAAATACAATTAAAAAAAATATTCTAAAGGACTCCAGGAAGGAAGCAGAAAAATAAGCCCGTTTAATAGAAAAATGCAGTTTGGGGAAAATTTGAGACAGATGATGGCACTTTATCAATTTTTCCCTGGATCTGGACACAATGCTACCCTCCCTTATACCTGTACAGGATTTACAAGGCAACAATTGTATTATCAACATCTGCAGCAGAAACAGGTTGTATGTATGATGATGACCTTTGGAAAATGTTGCATGTGGAAGACCTCAGGAAAATGATAGACCCTGGAAAGTAAAAAAGTGCGAATAATAAGTGGATCAAAATATATTCAAATATGTTTTTGTAAAAAAATGTGATGATGATGACGACGACGATGATGAATGTATTGCTCTTGAAATAGGTAATGTTTCTGAATTACTCCCACTACCGCTTCCACATTGCCCTAGAACAAACGACACAAGGTAGAAGGCATTACAGTATTGACAGGACAACAGTTGTGGTTACAGCCCCTTGCAGAGGCCAGAGCAAAAATAAATAAATAAATAAAAATTAAGAATCCTAGTGAGGGAAAAAGAACAACATTACACTATAACCACAGGTCCTGATGAGCTCCATTTCTACTGGACAATTTGTCCTCCCTACCCCACCCCTGATGAAATAGATCCCTCAGTTTCTTTGCCCCCATTCAGGGTGGAGAATCTCAAAAGGCAACATGCACACAGTGCTTGCTCCCTCTCTTGCAGGTGAATGTGTTGGCACTGGCTTGTGTTTATTGTTAGGTTGTTTATGAGGCAATACCTCATTCATAAAGCACTCCTGATTAGCTGGAGGGAGAACTAGGAAGGAGGGCAAAGAGGCTGGAATTTTTCAGCCACTCATTCCCCGACAGGGAGTTTGCATTATGCATTTTGTTATCGCTGAGAACCTGCTAGATACGGACAAGTGCTGATAAAACAGAAAACGGTCTCCTAGATTGTTAGACACGCACAACCCTGCCATTAATCACTGTGGATTTGATTTGTTTGCTAGATATTCAGGTTGGGTCAATTTCCCCCAATGGCTGAAGCCGTTTTGAGAACCTGACTACTTTTACCTCAAAAGAACATTGGCTTTTTGATTTGGACCTCTCTTTTACTCTGTTGTCCAAAAGCCTGTTGCTGGGTTGTCATTTTTAGCTGTGTTAGCCTGTGCCAGGATGCCAGAGAAAAATAACAAAACAAAAACAAAAAATGAAGACAACATTCTGGCATTATAGAATGGTTCGTTAGTAATGGAAGAAGTTATTAGGCTGTGCATAATTTCAGTTATCAGTCTACAATGCAACAATAGTAGAGTTGACAAAAGTGCCAAATTGTGTGGATCAGTATAGCATTCCACACTTGGCAATGAATTAAAAACCCTTGATTGATTGTCAGTCCTTTTAAGTGAGTCTCCAGCATCCGTATACACCTTATATCAGCTCTTGCTCTTTCAAGTCTGGTGCTGTCGTGTTCCCGGCTCCACCCCAAAAATGGCAACTTTCAGGTCATTCAAAGGGTGCCCAGGTAGAATGAAATGTTCTGAAACACGTTTTTTGTGTATTGCCATTCCTGATGAGTCAGATTTATGTCCATTAATTCTTTTGTGCAAAAATTGTCTCATTTGTCCTACACGGAAGGTAGAAGGGCATTGTTGGCAAAGGATGGCATAGATTGCATTAGCAGAGGAACAAGTAAACATGTCCCTGATTTGTGTGGGACAACGTTGAGGCCTGTAATCATGTTACCAGAGTGGATGAGAGAACAAACTTGGCATCTGGGTTTGTAGCAGGATTTAGTTCCTGTCTCTGTATTCTTTGACTAATGAACTGTTGTCACTTGTCCTATTGTAGGTAGGCCCGCCTGGTTATGGGGTCATGTTTAAATGTGACTGTCATATAGTCTCACTCTTATGTCTAGGGAAATTGACTTCATCCGTGAAAGCTCACATTAAAATGGTCTTTAATGTGCCACAATGTTTTCGTCTTTGGGGATTTTCCCCCTCTTCCCAGAATATGTTTTACTACAGGATCCATGTAGGCCTTCTGTAACTCTGTGTACTCGTGATAATAAACACTAAACGGGTAACATAATGTGCTTGTGATTAAAAAAGAAAAGAAGAAAGGCAGAGTAATGACAAAGGTAGATAGCTACTGAAAACCTGGCTCAGGTGTATACGTGCTCTCATCCTTTACAGCAGGCCCAGTAATGTACAAACAAGATCTTATCAAGTTATGTAGGAAATGTATAACACATTCCTATCATACATTTATCTTAAATATTAACAAGGCCAAGGAGGGCTGAGCACTGCTGTTCCAATTTCCAAGGTATCCCAGCTCTAAGGTGGCTCACGAGTTTGTCTTAATTTGCCTCATTATATGAAACCACAGATTTTCCCCCAAAGTGTCCACATTTACTTTTTCAAATGGAAAAAAGGAGGGATTTACCTCCCTCCCCTGGGGATTCCCCATTACATTGTTAGAGATGCCCATGTAGTGATCTGCATTCAGGCATATTTTTTTTCCTATGGGTGAAATGCTAATGATGACGTACAAAGCCTAAACGGTTTGGGACCTCAATACTTGGCAGATCATCTTCTCCCACCTAGATCTACCCGAATCACCTGGCATAGCCAGCAGGGACGGCTGAGGGGCCTAACATCGAGACAAGCCCAGAAAGAACAAGAAACCAGGCCTTCTTGGCAGTGGCCCCATCGGCTATGGAACAGTCTCCCAACAGAAATCTGTCTGGCACCCTCGCTGGGTGTTTTTAAAAGCCATTTAAAAACTTGGCTCTTTAGGCAGGCCTTCCCTCCAGTCAATAACTGATCTTTATTCTTTGTCTTTTAAATTTTCATCTTGGCAATGATTTATAATAAGTGTTAATATTACGATGTTGTAAATGATTTTTATGATGTTTGTTATATTATGATGTTTTATCATGTGTGTAAGCTGCCCCGAGTAGACTTTGTCTAAGGGGGTGGGGTAAAAATCTAATAAAGTAAAATAAGTAAAGTAAGTGAAACTGACTTGAGGTCAACCGGTTCTATCTTCAGCCTCTACAGAGGAGGACAGGCTTGGTATGCTCATGCAGATAGATGGCACTGATTCTGCCCTTCCTTTCTGTTCAACTGACCGACTGCTCCGTCTTTTCTTTCTGTACAGGTGCCCTGGCTCCAGGCCATTTATGCTGTGCTGGGCGCACTTTTATTTACTATGGTAAGTAAGTTTGACTCACATTTACAGCTTTCCCACATACGTTGGATGAAATCACAGAAGTTAAGGTGTCCGCTCTGGGCTTTTCACTCTGAAGTAGCAGTTGGACTGACCCAAGTATTTTTCTGCCTGAGGAAAAGAACAAAATGGGACCACCTCCCTATTCCATATACAGAAATGGACAAGACTGGGGAACAGCTTTTAATTCAACCCTGGCAGTCTGTGCCTGTGGCAATTTGAATCAATTTCTGTTCATACTTTAAAAAAAAAACATGGGTGAGGTCACATAGTATTTAAACCAGTGGCCACGTTCAAATGCACTGAATGGAAATGGGTTTTCTGTTTTAGGAGCACTATGTTCTTAAAAGATTTTTATTTATTACAGCTGAGTGTTTAGGAGGTGCCACCTGGTATCATAATAATTGCTAGAAACCTTGGGAAAGAACCCCAAAGAGGTGGCCCAAGCTGATTAATGATGAAAAAAATTGAGAAATGGGGTGGGGGAGAAGGCTTCCAGCTGCTTTGTGGGGGTGATACTATTGGTCTGTGGTCTGTCCTCTGTACCCACTCTGCACCTACTGGTCTTATACTGCTCTGCCAGCTGTCTTGTAATGCCAAACATAGTGATGAAGTGATAAACAGTTTAAGAACTTTTTTTTAATTTAAAAGGAAAAACTGTTGTGCCCCGTACATCCAAAATCCATATAGACACAAATTAAAATTACAGCAGCATTTACAGCTACAAAACTGCATTGAATTGAATCAATTCTAGAAGTGAGGTGTTTGTTTTAAAGCCCCTGCTGGACAGTTGGAAAAAACTGCTGGCCAGTTGGAAAAAAAAAACTCACTTTGCAGCATATATAAATTGATTTCACTCTTGCATTGTGTGAACACTAAAATCTAAATCCATTTAAATTACACTTTCATGCAGTTCTTACTGTATTCTCGAAGGCTTTCACGGCCGGGATCTGATGGTTGTTGTGGGTTTTCTGGGCTGTTTGGCCGTGTTCTTAAGGTTTTTCTTCCTAACGTTTCGTCAGTCTCTGTGGCCGGCGTCTTCAGAGGACTGGAGTCAGAACTGCAACAAACTGCAACGGAACACAGACAGAGTCCTGACTCCTGTCCTCTGAAGACGCCAGCCACGAAGACTGGCAAAACATTAGGAAGAAAAACCTTAAGAACACGGCCAAACAGCCCAGAAAACCCACAACAACCAGTGGGTCTTACTGCCAGTGTGACTACAGCCTGTAATCCTCTATGGTGTTTGAAGGCAGCAGTCTAGCTTAGGGAGGTGCAGGGGCTGCCACTTGGCAAACAGCTCTCTCCTCCAATGTGTTTCTGTTGCCTTCCAGCCGCTGTCACCTGAGATGGCTACCTCGTTCTACTTAAATGGTGTGGTTTTTTGTTGTACAGTTCAGTCTTGAGAAGCTTGCATTCACGTTCTTGCTGTTCAACATTCAGTCTAAATAGTAATTAATAGGCTGCATCACCGCCGCCAAGATGGTTCAAAACTAGAAAATCAAATTGTTTCCCCCTGAAAGTGAGAAACCTTAGGCACGCCTCCATTTGTGCCATTGGGAGTGAATACTTCTCTCTCTAGGTCCCTCAGAACTGCTCTCCTCTCTTCCCTCTTTGGTAGTGGCTGTGGTTGGACCATGGCAGGAGCAAAGTCTCTGTGTAGGTCCCTGTGAGAACCCTTATTCGCACAAGTGTCCCAAGATTATGGAGGTGTGATAGATCTATTTTTGAAGGGGCCTTGTCGAAGGGGGACCTGCAGAAAGCTATGTTTCTCAAGACTTATCTTTGAGAAGCTACTTTTGCAAAGTCTCGGGAGGATGGAGACATGCACAGAGGCCTTGTTGCTGATGCCCTGCCACCACCGAGGGCAGAGAGGTGAAGGCCAAGCCATGGACAGCAGGAGTTCTTGTGACAGTGGCAAAGGTGGAAAGTAATACAGGCCCAAATCCAAAAGCTTCTGGATTTGGAACTGCATTAGGGTGAGATTGTCTGAATGGAAGAAAATCACAGGGCAGCCTTTCTCCCTGTCCCAGTTCATTGGTGTCTGGCTTGGCAGCATTTTGCAAAAAGGCACACAGGGCGGAAGGAAGCCAGTGGCTCTTGTCGCAAGGACCAGAGCTCATGGCTGTGCATTATACTCATTGTTTCACAAACGGGCACCTCCAGCTAACTCAGGCTCTCGGTGATGTGAATCTCAAAGGGATAGAGGGACTGGATGGGACAGCAGCCAAACCCCTCTGGGAAACAGGGCTTATCTTATCTCTCCTTTGCACCTCTGATTGCCCCTAGTGGGGTGAAAAAAGGTGCAATACACTGAAGGGATGGGCTAAGATAAATAGACCATAAAATAAGCCAGAAATCAAGGATGGATTGACAGCCTGAAGCCCCCGATAAAGAGGACACAAGGCGGATCACAATATTGAAAAGAATAGCATTAAAAACACAATAAGTTGAACATTAAAAAACCAATTAACATATATGCTAATTAAAATACAGTTGAATAATTAAATAGCAGGTAAACATTAAAAACCTCCAACTTTAAAAAGGCATTCAGGGACTCAATCATGACGGTTAAAAAGCTGAATAGCTCAGTGATTTAGGTCTCTGGCTGTAAAGCCAGAGGTTGGGAGTTCAGTTCTCCACTGTACTTCCTTGGCAAGAGATGGACTCAGTGGCTCATAGGGTCCCTTCCAGCTCTGCTTTTCCAAGATTATTATAAGTCTTTGAACAGTCAAAGCCAATTCAGAGTGAGGGAACTGGAAATATATGTGATCACAATGAGCCATGGTTCCCAGTTTTTCTTAGCCTGAATGTTAGAACATTTTCTTCTTTTGTTAAGAGTTCAGGCAGGGGGTGGTGGTGTGCTGTGTGTGCTTTCCTTAGTTGCCAGGATTATTATTCTCCAAGTGTAGCACAGTTGATGGGCCACTGATTCCATGATTACTTGGCTTTTCACATTTATTTTTAACTGCACAAGGAAGTAAAGGTGCACAGATGTATGCTTTTGGATTATAGCTCCCTTTGAGTGGATGGGTCAAGCAACGGGGTTTTCCATAACCTCTTGCGGGTCATCGCTGTATTCCCTGATTTGCAGGATTTTTTTTGAAAAATTCTGATTTATAAACTCAGAATGAGCCGGACTGTTTCCTAAACAGTACAGGGTGGGTTGACCTTGATTTTTATGCCCTTTTATTTGGGTGCATGACAGACTTAATAGGCTTCTGCATATCTCTGGTGTTTATTTTTAAAACCTTCAAATTTAAGTTTTCTTGCTGCTGTAAGGACTCCACTTACACTGCCCATCTGTTAATCTGCATTTGACGGAAATGCACGGACATCTGCAAAGATGAAAGTTTTTTTTCTGATGCAAGATTAAATCAAATCATAACTTCTGAACTAACAACAACAATGACCACGATTCATGGCCACATCTTAGAGTGCATATCCTGTAGTGTATTACATTTCTAAGAGCTACCTGAAATAGGTAGTTTTTCTGACAAGATGCTGTGGCATCCAGCCTGCCTGGAACATCTGTTGCTGTTGACCCAATCCCAGGTGTAGATGAACTGTGCATATGGAGGTTAAGTGTAACTTTCTCCACGGATGGTGTTGTATGGAAAATTCTAGCTCCTTATACTCTAGCTAAACTTGGCAATATGAATGGCCCTGCATTCTGATAAACAATAAAGTTTATGGTTTTATTGGGAACCATCTTGAGAGGGCAGTCTGTGGTAATTAAATACTTAAGGAAATAAATACATAAAAACATTGACCTGATTTTAGAGATAAACTAGACATGAAAATACTGTACATGTACCTGTTTTCCGTCTTCTACACTTATATAATGTGCTATGTTGTTATGCTGTCACCTGTCTTTCCCCTGCCTCATGGAAAAGCCTCATGGCCTCACTTCTTTGGTGGGCAGGGAGTGATAAATGTGTAAGGTGATGACATTGCTTTGCTTATTTATATATTTTCTCCCAAAGGAGGGACCCAAAGCAGCAATGTTATTTTATCCTCTAATGACATGTGTTCTCCAAACCCATCATTCTCAGTGTCTGTTACTTTGTGTCCCATGAGCCACACTTGTCAAAGAACCTGAGTCCTATGATAGCATTAGAAACTGAACCCACACTTTTCTGACAAGAGTGCTTCTGTGTTTACAGCATTCTGTCATTATAATCATTTATAGTAAATTGGTGGGCAGGCCAAACAGGGGATTAAGAGATACACCAAGAATCCAGAGTTGTTGCTAACATGCCCCAAAGTCACAGAGATGGATAGTCTGTGGCTTGCAAGAGGTGGCACATTGAAGGATATGGAGATTGAAGGGAGAGTGGATTCTGTTGCGAATGCCCTGTGTCTCATCTGATTTCTAGGTCCCACCGGTGTTAACAGGTCCCACTTGTTGAGGAACAGTGCTCTAAACCATCCATGACAACCATACAGTGAACACTTCAAAGGTCTTGGGTTAAGGAGAAAGACGGATAAAAAAAACAAAAACAAATGTTGGTGCTTCCTACATAGAGACTGCAGTCTAGTGCGTACTTCCCTAGGAGTAACTCCCGACCTCCGTTAGGGTTAATTCCCGAGTTGATGGGTGTAAGATTGCACTGTTAATCTCCTTCTGTCTTTGCTTTCTTCTCCTTAGTTCCTGGCCTTCGACACTCAGCTCTTGATGGGGAATCGCCGCTATGCTATGAGCCCAGAGGAGTACATCTTTGGAGCCCTCAACATTTACCTGGACATCATCTACATATTCTCCTTTTTCCTGCAGATCTTTGGATCCAGCCGAGATTGAGCTTGGCCAAGTCACTTAAGCCCTGCATCTCATGAAACAGAATATATAGATTATATATAAATATATATATATATCTGCTAATACAACAGCAACAAAGAAAAGAGAGAGGAAAAATTAAGTGACCTCCCTGGCCCTTTAGTGAGCACCATTCCCATCAGAATGGCATCAGCCTGCACACACTCACACCAGTCTTCTTGACTTCTTTCTGCAGCCTGTACATACGTTTGCTGTTAAATCTTTTGGGACTAAAAAAACAAAAACAAAAAACAAAAAAAAAGAAAGAAAAAAGAAAAGAAACGGGGGTGCAAATAGTAGGGCATCTTTCTCTTGCTTCCACAAATGCCTTTGATTTGTAAATTGAACCTAGAGTGGCAGTTTCTTCTAGGGTTGCCAGAAAAGGGGAGCTTTTTCGTGGAACCCCCTGTTGCAGCCTTCAGACTAGAGCTGAAACAAAAGTGGATGGAGAAAATTGGGTCAATGCTCAGAAAGTCACATTCGGTTTATTAAAGAGTGAGCAACTG